GGAGATTGAAACCAGCCTGGGTAACAGGGCAACACGCCATCCCTAGAAACAAACAAACAAACTTAGCCAGGCATGCTGGCAGGTATTTGTAGTCCCAGCTACTTGGGAGGCTAAGGCAGGAGGATCACTTGAGCCCAGGAGTTTGAGGCTGCAAAGAGCCAAGATCATGCCACTGCACTCCAGCTGGGTGACAGAATGAGATGTTGACTAAAAAAAAAAAAAAAAAAAAAATGTTTAAGCCTAAATTCTCTTCCCACAGTTGTAAAACTGACTTTTGGCCAACAGAGAAGGTGAAAAACTGAAGCACAGCTTTGTAAACAAATTCAGACTAATTCTATGATCCTAAAAACTGTCAGCCTCAGATTTCCATTCTAAGAAATGAAAATGTTAACTAATCTCTGAACACCCTTCGATTCATTTGTCTGTGCTTGCAGTTTAACTCATTAAAAATGAATTATCTCATTATGACAAAATATTATGTATTTCCTTTTAACCATTTTTTTTTTTTTTTGGTCTAATATTGTTGAGCTTCACACTTATTTTCTGTTAACACTAGAGGTCAGGCTAAGAATAGTCCTGTTTTGTACATGATGAGCCACATAAGATATTATAGATACTTTAGATATTTTGACTTTTTTTATTTAGAACTTTTGAATTTCCATTGTAATTGTTATGTTACTCATTCACATTTTGTCAACAATAAAGGTAATACAAGTTTTTTTAAAACACTAAAAAAATTAAGAAAATAAAAAGTATACCTTTGATATATGTGGTAATATTACAATTAAAAATTCAGCAGATTTTTTTAAAGTGAATCAGCAACCTAAATTTTCTTCACCTAAATATATGATTATTACATACATTTTCCTAGCCTTACCCATTTATTTTTCTTTTAGATATTCATATTTTCCCCCTGCAGAATTACAAACACTATGACAAAAGTAACAATTTACCACAACCTTGAAATAACCTTGAAAATCACACAAAAGCAATAATAAAGATGCAAAATTAATAGCATCACTTTAAGCTTACGGCTCTAGGTAGCCTTTTGAACTTGCCAGGAGTTTAGGTGAACCTTAAACATAACCAATCTCACACCCAAATGCACACAGAAATGGACTTAATACCGTTTTACAGAGAATTAGTAAATTCTTTCATGCCACACTTGGTAATCTAAAGTAAAGCAGGTAAAGGTATGAAAATGTGATTAAAACTCAGAAGAGAAGGTAAGAAAACATTAAGCTAGGGCTTCATGGTCCATACCAGGTGGAACTGGTCTCTACGCAAATATAAACAGATAAAATACACTCTCTGAATTCCAGAAATAGAGAGAACCTCTAGCCTTTGGGGGAAAAAATAAACAAATGCATCGTGTGTGTGTGTGTGTGTGTGTGTGTGTGTGTGTGTCCCATTCATTTAGTTCACACATGTCTACATATTTGCCACTAAACCTTTTTCTTTAGGCAGTGTAAGCTATGCATGCAAATCTTTAAGAAATTTTTACCCCCTAAAACAGGAGGCTTTTCAAGAAATTGATCTTCAAGTAACCAATGTTTTCAACCATCTCCCTAAAAGAAAGTCTTTGCCTGAAGAATCACTAGATAAAAAGTCAAGACACCATGCAAAGGACAGAGGCGATTTTCCTAATGAGGTTGTTGTGTTGAGATAAATGCACTAAGCTGCAGTTAGAGGACCTGCTTTCCTGATGAATCATTTCCAGCATGCCTTGACTCTGCGCTTTGTGAAGGCCTTTGCACTCTCTTAGCACTCAGGGGCCGGCCAGCCCTCGCTGCCAGACTGTTTGGATCAATTGATTGAATCAATTGACCTTTTACTTTTTTTTTTTTTAATTGTTTCCTCAACCCTTTAAATTCCCCATCAGTGTTTTGTTTTCTCCAGAGCGCCTTTCCACACTCAGACACGCGGAACGCCTTTTCATCTACGGAAAACGAAGACTCCTCACAGGTAGAGCTTGGAAGTAAAGGGCTAAGAACAGGGCAGATATTCTCATACTATTTCTGTTTCTGCTGAGTCAAAAGGGAAAACCCCTACATTCACCTAATGGCAAGGTTATAATAGTACCCCCCCTTTTTACAGTCAAGAGCACATTTCTCAGAACTGCTTTCACTGTTTTTCACCAACCATACCATATCCAGGCGAGGTACTTTTCATTATCTTTGTCCTCTTGATCCTAAACAGTTCCTCTGCCCAGGCTTTCTGAACCACAGGATGGTTATGCTCCTGCCTCTCTAGCTTGGAACAGCCTGGTCCATAGCTCTCTAATGAAAACAATGTGACCATGTCATCCTGGAGCTCACAGGAGAAGCAGATATCAGCACAAAAAAACCATAAATTTTTTTTCTCTGTATTGCATCCTTGCCTAACAATATTAGTTTTGAGTAACTTTGGAAACAAAGAAGTTGGATTGTTGACATCAACATCCATATACGTGTCAAGAAAGAAGCAAGTTAAATATATCCTTTGCCATTCTGAGCTGATTATATTCTAGAAGGCACAGCACTGATAAAAATCATAAGATGTTTAGCTGCCTTAGCATTATTAAGAAGGGATGACATGCAAATATGACTTGTATACTCTTCATCTTTAAAAATATTCATTACTGGGTTTTCTTTATACATATTGGTTTAATGTTTATTAAAAGTGGCTTGGAATTTACTTATTAATAAAAAGTCAATCTACTCTAGTGGTTTACCATTTAAGAAGATCTTGCTACGGATCTGTTTAGTGAGGTGAAAAATCGCTTCTTGTTTATTCTGTGGTATAGGATATGGGCTTTGATACATTTATATAACATGAATTATATTTTGCATTACTAAAAGAGATGGATTAAAAAAAGTATAATTTTTTTATTGCTGCCAAGTACCCAGTTCAATACCAAGGATCTCATCAAATTTTCAAAATGAAGGAAACAGAAGGCTCTTATATAATTCTCAGTTTATAGGGAGTGGCTGAAGCTTAGAGGTTAACTCATTCACTCACAATGACAGTGACTATAGTGCTAGGAAGAGCTGGGATTCAGAAACATTTTCTATCTGACTCTGGAAGCCAAGTTTGAAACTCCTCTGTTCCTCTCTCTCTCTCTCATTATAACACTGAAAAATATAAGGATAATAAAAGAATAATCTATACATTTAATTAAAAAAACAAATAATAGAGTACTTTTGTATGGCAAGATCACCATTAGCAAGGTTAAAAGACAAATTATAAATTGAAAGGAAATACTTGGTTGTACATGCAGAAGATAAAGAACCAATATTAATAATACAAGAAACATTTAAAACAGGGAGAAGAGGAAAAAAAAAGCAATAGGGTTAGGGTTACAGAAGCCTTTTCAAAACACTGATGGCAGTTGTGGCTGTGTAGAAAAAGAACTCCCAGCCCATCACTTCCCCTGCCATTCCAGGTGCACGTACTTAAACCAAAGATGATTCATAAAAACACCAAGGATGTTTTTGAAATTTTTTTTTTTTTAGAGAGAGAGTCTCGTTCTGTCACCCAGCTGAAGTGCAATGAGCATCATCACAGCTCACTGCACCCTCGAACTCCTGGGGTCAAGCGATTCTCCATCCACTACGGCCTACCGAGTAGCTAGGACCACATGTGCACACCACCACACCTAATTTTTGTTTGTTTGTTTTTGTATAGAGATGAGATCTCCCTCTGTTGCTTAGTCTGGTATCAGACTCTTGGCCTCAAGCAATCCTCCTGCCTCAGCCTCCCACAGCATTTAGATTATAGGTGTGAGCCACTGCACTTCTGACTGAAATTTTCTGTTTTCATTGGAAAAGCAGAACATGCTAATTTTTAATAATTTGGGAACTGGAGAAAAGCAGAAAGACAAAAAGTCACCAAAAATATTACTGTCAACAATTCTTTTTTCAGTTTGTATTTTAAACCTAGTTGTTTTCTTTCCAATAGAAATATAATCATGGCTTAAAAAATTGCATCCTGACATTGTGTATTCTTTGTAAACACCTTAAATTACTGCAAATTCATTCGCCAACTTTATTTTTCATAAGTTTAATTTACTGTTTTAAAAGTTAGCTTTTCAACATTTTATATTGATACTTTATTTCAAACTCACAGAAGAATTACAAAAGTGGTACAAAGAACTATTGTCCACCACTTATCAAGATTAATTACCAAGCTTCACCATTTGTTATGTTTTGCCCCATATGATTTATCTTTTACTGAATCTCTTCTCCCTTTCTCTCCCTCTTTCACTCCTTCTCCCTTATTCTTGTATTTCCCCAGCATCTGATGAATAAAGTGGGTTGTGAAACCTTTAATTTTTGACAGTTCCAGAGCTGAGTAATAGATCCAGGGTAGTTATAATTTATTTTTTATATTAGAAGTGAAAGTAAACATATGCATAAAGATAATTTTAAATATTTTCTTTTTAAATTGTTCATCTTTTTGTTCACTTTTATACTACTTTTTTTCCCCTCTTCTCCTTGTTTTAAATGTTTCTTGTATTATAAATATTGGTTCTTTATCTTCTACTTGTACTACCAAGTATTTCCTTTCAATTTATAATTTGTCTTTTAACCTTGCTAATGGTGATCTTGCCATACAAAAGTACTCTATTTATTTAATTAAATGGATAGATTATTCTTTTATTATACTTATATTTTTCAGTGTTATTTAGAATTTTTTTTTCTATACTCAAATTATACAGGTACTTATTCTTTTATAATGAATAATTTTAGGGGTAGATATTTTGAAACTATAAAATTCAGTTACTCAGCAAATTTTATATCTATATCAATATAAAATTATAGTTTTGTATTTTAACAAATGGGATGAAATATGCTACTATCATTAGTTACGTGATGCTTACATTGTAACGTACCAGCTTTTGTGCCCTTTTGACATGTCCGCATCATTACTTGAGTGCTTTCATGCTTTCTGGCATACACAAAAATGCTCTATGTCCCAGCCCTGGATTCAATTATTCCTTCAAAGAGCCCTGGTTGATTTAGGTGGAGAATGTTATCTTCTGTCTAGATATCATCCTTATTCCAGTAGCTTCAGATACTGACCTGGCCACCATGGCTGCCTCCCCTTTGCTGAATAGATAGTCATCCACCTAGTTCTGCCCCACTAAAGACCTTGCAATGAATCAGTCTGGAAGGAAAAAAAGAGACAAGAAAGGAAGAGGAAACAAAAAAGAGAAAGAAAGTAGAAAAAAGTTCATTGATGTTTATACTTTACATTTTATTGCTATAATGTTTTAAATCTATTAGTTTTCTTCTGATCATTGCTTTGAATATATATATAATATGTAGTCTACTTTCATCATTATTTTAAGATATTTTATATTTTAGTTTGAAATATCTTCATTCATGGAGACTATTTCAAGGGTTTTTAAATAGATTTTCTTTTATCTGTACAATTTTTAAGTGAAAGGAGATTATGGAGGTGTCCGTATTTCATATGTTATTGCATTGCAATCAGAAAGCATTGTTCATAACATAATATTTCTACATTATGCAGCTACAGATGTTTTTTATGGCTCAAGAAATCATGGAATTTATGATCAATTTTAATGTTCCATGTGCACTGGAAAAAAAGGTACAGCTTCTGCTAAGTAAGTGTACAGTTTGTTTTATATTTATACAATGTACCTTATCTTATAAATTATGTTATTTAGGTCCTCCATATCCTTATTTTTTAATCACTCAATCTGTCTTACTGCAAAAGGTCTTCTCTTATTACTGTCTTTCTATCTGTTTCTTCTTTCACATTTTTGCATCTCCTTTAATTTCCTGCAGTTCTCCTCTGTAAAAGTAGCAATGTATAAAATTATTTGGTGCATAGTCATAGCTGTTACTTCTATTGGGAAGTGTGGTTTTTATTACAAAAAGCGTCTTTGTCACACTTAACTTTTTTTTCTTTGTTCAACTTAACAGGATCACAAATGCTATGTTCTTGTTGTTTTCATTTGACTGACACATCCTTGAGCTTTCCTACTAGTCTTTTGAGTCAGGTTTTTAGATGTCTTACGTTCAGAATTACAGCTTAGTATTTCTTTGTTAGTAAAACTCAAAGTTTTCTTTTAATAATTGAGTTAAGCCAATTCACATTTATTGAAATGACTAATATGATCCATTTTATATTTTTAATAAGTTTATATAATTGTAATTATATAATCATTGTATTATATTTGTTTTTTCTCCTGCATTTGCTGTGTTTACTTTGTTCTTTTAGTTTTTAAATTAAAAATGGTATTTAGAATAGTTTGTATTTTCTTCCAGTGGTTACATTTTTACTTATTACTTTCTAATGTTTTTAGTGTCTTAGCTTCTTATCTAAACATTTACTATTAGGTTTGTTGATTTTTAATAGTATCTTTTAACTCCTGCCTATTGCCTGTATAAAAATCAATGAGCTTAGTTCTTGTTCCTCTTTTGCCTTTTTCCATTATTTTAGAGCATTATTTTTACTTTATCAAAATACACAGCACATAACACTCATTCACCATTATTCCACCTTCTTCCCCACCTTAGTCATAATCTTAGTTCTACCCTTCAATAAATAAGGGCTCATCATGGTATCTTTTGCTGATGATTCCCCCCAGTCATCTCCTGGTTTTAAAGCTCTGGTAGATTCTTCAGAAAGAGCTGTGAGCACAGTAATACCTGGATTCTAGAATATTTAAAATCACTTTTTCCACAGCTTTAATACTTTAATAATAGTTTTGCTGAATGGAAAATCTTTGATTCACTTTTTTTTCCATGAAAATGCTGCTATATTGTTTTGCTTTTTATGTTGCTTTTAAGAAATCTGATTATCTTGTTCTCTTTTAAATTATTAATCCTTTTGCCTATAAGTCAAAAGGATTTGGCCGGTAAGGACTTTTTAAATCATTACAGTCTTACAGACTTATTAACATACTTCTTGTAGCTGGTCATTGCTAAGGTCTAACCATGTCAGTTCTCTCCCTTGAAGGGTATCCAAAGTCAAACACACCTCACTAAGACCAGTGAGTGCAAGAAATTCACAGGTTCATTATTTATTCAGGGAAGTGTAAAGTAATAGAGTCCCTTTGATGTCAAGACCAAGGGAGAGAGATGAAGGTCCTGATGGGTACACAGGCGCACACACACACACACACACACACACACACACATCCTGGGGATTTATAAATAATGCCAAGTAGACTAATTCTAGCAGTGATACCAGTATGTGTGAAAACAGATAAGAAAGTTTAGCAGTAGTAATTTAGGGCTAAGATGATCTCTGGTTCTCTCTCCAGTACATGTTAACGATTTAGCCAAATGTCATTTTGCTGTGACCTATTGCTTCCAACTTTAATTCTCCACAGTCATTTCAAGAAAAGTGCTCAGGCACCTATTAGGTGTCTTCCACATTTAAAAGGAGTCTTTATTTTATTTCCAGGAATTTTTATGTTAAAAAATTCTATACTAGTTTTGCTTTATTATATTATTTTGTTGTTATTGTTGTTAGGGACTCCATATTATATGATTTTTTTGTATTAGCCTGCTTTCTATTTATTTAGCTACTTTCCTTCTGACTCTTTTTTCTTTCTTATTATAACTCATTTTCACTCTATTCATAATTTCCTACCTTTCTCCAATGTCCCTTATTAAGTTTTTGATCAGGCATATTCCCCCTCTGGTTCCTTGTAATTTACTCATCACTGCTGATGAAATTCTGTCTTCTCCCTCCTGTCCCCCGTTCCTCATCCCCTCTCATTCCCTTATCTGCGTCCTCCTGCTCCTTCTTGGAATTCAATCAACTTTCATTTCATTTCTTCCTTAATATATGAACTTCTTATTCTGGTTATATGTATATATATATAACCACAATTGCTTGTCTGAGGCTATTTGATTTAGTTGGAAATATTGTGTTAGACTCTTCTGCTTTGTGGCTGGTTTCTTGAGAGATCATTTTCATCAGGTAAAATGTCTGCTCCTCACTCTGCTTTGTTACTACCTGGGTAGATGAAAACTGTTTACATTTATGCATTTTTGTGGACGGAATGCCACCAAATTGGGCTACAAGTTTTCTGTATCAAGAGCATTTTCTTAGGTCATTGTTTGCAAATGCCATCTTTAATTATTGCCCTTGGTTAGTTTGTTTATTTGGTTAGTGTGAGAATAGACTGAATGCCCTGAATTTTATTTTTTTCTAGCAGGATCACAATATTTTCCCTTTTACTTCTTTTCCCCTTCTCATTCCATTCTCCAAAGGATGCCTCTCCCTTTCTTGTACTCTTATTCTTTGGAAGCATTGCCCCTCAATTCTGTCACCGTGCCTCCCACAAGCTATTATATCCCTTCTCTGCCACCAGTGCGCTGATTTACCAGAAATATTTTTTAATATTTTCACACTTACAGTGGACGTTTTCCTTCTGGGGTGATTTTAGATCAACTGTAGGCCCTTTCTTCTCTCACCCCCTCTTCCTCGTCAGTGTTTCCAGCATTCACCCCCAGTACCGCCTGTCTGCAAAATTTGAGAGATGGCTCTGCTGAAAATAGGCATTTTCTTGGACTTACAGGGAATTTGAAGTTTGTAGTGTTCTCTTAATTCTAGTTATGCTATTTGCCTGATTTTATTTGTTATATTGAGAAAGAGATACTACAAAGGGGTGGTTAATGGGGATAATGTAGTGTCACAAAGCCAAGGAAAAAATTTTTTCAAGAATAAGGGAAAGATCAATATGTCAAGTGCTGCTGGGAGGTTGATTAAGTTGAAGACTGAAAGCTAACCATTGGTTCAGGCAGCCTTGAAAAGTCTTACTGTTGAAAAGCCAGCACAAAAGGCCTATTGATACGGGATCTACAAAGAAAACAGTGTGAGAAAGTGGATACAGTAAATGCAGCAAGGACAGAACAGTCATTTAAGAAGGCTTATTATAAAAGGCCAGATGTACATGTGGTAGTTAAAGGGCACTGTGGGGTCAAGTGTCCTTTTTTCACTTTTAATTTAAACATATATACTTACAAAAGTGCACATATTTTAAATATAGCTCTTGATAAATTTTCAGAAACTCAACAGCCTGCAGATAAAAGAAAAGAGCATTACTACATTCCCAGAAGCTCCCAGCGCTCCATGTATTCAAAAATTATCCACCAAAAGCAACCTCTATGCTACAGTCCAACACTAGAGTGTTAGGTAATCTTTTCTTTTTGGTTTCCTTTGCTGTGTATTAGTGTCTGAGAGAATTATTCATTTTGTTATGAGTAGTTGTAGGATTTTCAACCTTACTGCTATTTAATTTTCTACTGTCTGAACATACATACTATAACTTATTTATCCATTATAGTGTTGAGGAGAATTTGAATCATTCACAATTTTGGATGATTATGCATAGTGCCACTATGTGCTCTTAATAATTTCTTTGTTACTAGTCATATATTTTCCAGTACATGGATTTTGGTGACTTACGTATGAATTTCTATAGGGCTTACACCTGGGAATTGAATTTCTGAGTAATAGAAAAGACAGATATTAAGAAACTATGGCCAAAGTATTCTAAATATTTTTTAATGAAGAACTTCATAAGCATTTCAGTTGCTATTTTTGCTAAAACTTAGTTGCATTTTCTTTCATTTTCTCAATTATGATATGGTATTATTTGCATTTTCCTGATGCAAACATATGAGGTCATATGTTTACTGGCCAGTTGGACCAAATGTAGTATCCTTTACAATATGTCAGTTGCCCACTTCTCTTTTTGGTTAGCTCTCTTATCCTTGCTGAGTTCTAGGGGTTTTCAATATTCTGGTTATAAGTGATTACTGGGCGAAGAATATTTTGAGATGTGAAAAATATTAAAGTATATTTTATAATAATGATAATTTGGTAATTCAAGATACAGAGGGAAGAACAGTAGAAGAGAAACCCTTGAGTTAACAAGTAGTGGATGGGACCCAGGAGAGCAGTAGCTGACCATTGAAGATCTATAATATTTATACTTTTGTTATAGCTAAACATTTCTGATATTTTACTATTATAAATGTGATGAGTATTTTAACTCAGTAAAATTTTAACCATATGTTGGGTCATTTTCACTTTCTAAATATAGGAAATCTTGATTAAAAAATAAGAAAATTAAGGCTTTTGGTGCAAATACATAGGAAAAGTATTTTGTGCTATGTTCACTGGCTTTCTGCTATAAAGACATTGCCACTGAGCCACGTTATTAATTCTTAGACTATTGTCATTGTACATTTAACTTTTACTTTTTAGTCTGGTTTTCTCCTTCAAGTCTTTTGAATAAACCCATTTGCATTATTTTATCTAATTATATTGTTGTATCTTTTAAACTTTTAATACTTTTGTTGAATGTCCTAAGTATATTCCAACCACTAGAACACTTTTTGTTTAATTTTTTACATTTTACTTTTTGTGTTTATTCTAGCAATAAGTAAACACATTTTGTCTGAATTTTTACATTTCTTTTTATTTTGTTTTTTTTTAATTATGGTCTTCAATTTGTATATTTTTTATTTTTGCTAAATATTCCTTTAGTTTTTCTTGACTAGCAGAAAACACGTCAGGAATAGCTATTTATATAATTCATACCCTAGTTTTAGTAGTTTTAATCCCTTATTTGGCCTTCGTGGATTTTTGGCCCTTTCTATCCCTTTTTGTAGAAAAATAGGTAATGTAAAAGTCCATGGTCTTTGCCCGTGTAATTATGAATCGAAAGACAGGTCATGCAATAGTTGGCCATTTAACAGAAGAGACATGTTCGCTGATAATTCTGTTGATGAAAGGTACATCTCTCCTGGATAAATTTAGTCAAACAGTAAGTGTTTACAAGATACTTGAGATTTCTTTTCTATTCCTATATGCTAAGGTGACATTGACTAGAGCAGGGGTTTTTCATTTATATAATTTTGGAATAAAAGTTTGCTCTTTTGGAGATGACCTATTGAATAAAAACAACCTTTAAAAAGGCAGTGTGACCTTGTCTGTTATTTTACAGCAAAAATAATCCTGGCCTCATCTCTTACTTTAATCCTTAGTTGTACTAAAACAGGGGTGGACTCCTTAGCAGTGTTGCTTGTAACTTTAGAAGAACTTTTTGTTTTTTTAAAACAAGACATGTGTCTTTGCAGCCGGGTATGGTGGTTCATGCATGTAATCCCAACACTATGGGGGGCTGAGGCAAGAGGATCACTTGAGCTCAGGAATTCTAGACCAGCCTGGGCAACATAGTGAAATCCTGTCTGTACAAATAATACAAACAAAAAGTAGCCAGGCGTGGTGATGTTTGCCTATAGTCTCAGCTACTCAGGAGGCTGAGGTGGGAGAATTTCTTGAGCCCAGAAGGTATAGCTGTTGCACATTAGCTGAGTCCCAGAAGTAACAATCTATCACAAAATTCCAGACATCCATAAGTGTTATTACTGATGTGAGGTTGTCACTGGTCAGTTGGCATTGTTTCACACCAGATCTGGTAGCTGCTTGTTACTACAGCTAAAGAATAATCAGTGTGGTTTTCTAGATGATTCAAATGTTTTTGCTCTCACTGAATATTTCCATACTACTTTGTACTGGCATTGTAATACCAATGTTTCATCTAATTGAACGCATTTTAGTACTTTGAAGGATGTTGTCTTATGACATTTTATCCCTATTTCCTATAGCATCTTGCATAATAAGTTATAATCACAAGCCCCAGTCGGGTAAGACATACTACATGGCCAACCTCTTAAGGAATTTAGCAATAGTGCTGTCAGAGGAAAGAGGTACAAGATCTTTTTAATGGGTTCAAAGAAAATAAATGAGAAAATAAAAACCATGGAGGGGCTATAGTTACATCACACATAAAATCTCCTAGTATACAGTAAAGACATGGAAGGCTAAGACAGAAGTCAAAAGCAAAAGATAAACACACTCTTCTCTAGACCCTTCTTTGCTTCTATGGCTCCTCATACCTGTCTTCATCTGGGATCTCATCTGCACGTGCAGGTCTGGTTCAATTTCCTTAGCCAAAACTGACCTTCTTCAGCCTCTCCCCAGGTCAGCAGCACTACAACATTATTCATCTCTAAAACCTGGCTGAGAAGTTGAAGTCTTCCAGAACACAGGACACTTCTTCCTCTCCATGACTCACACTAGGATTGACCACTGTGAACTATTAAGAATCTGCCAAGGTTCCAGACCCACCTATGGTTCAGAGACTCATCTTAAGATTCTACAACCTGGACTTTCTGTTTACAGGCTCACCTTGAGTTCCAGAAGTAAAGCTAAAACTGTGGAGACTTCATGAATATCTGAGAATGCCTCGTTGTGTGCTCTGAGACTAGCCCTCAAATCATCTTTCCTCAGATCTTCAACTCTAGGAACACTTACAGTGTCCAGGTTTTCTTTCCTAATGCTCTCTCTGTATTTTTTTAGCATTCTTTTTATATCCAGTGCAAGCCCTCACAAGACATAATTAATTTTTATGTATTAAAAAGGTTGACTAATTCAAAAAGGATACCTTGTTTTGGTGTTAGGAGACATGACTACAAAAACACAATTTACAGTGTTCTATAACCAAGTGAGAACTGCTATAGTGAACATCTATTATAAATTTACTAGGGCATAACTTTGTCAAAGTAATATAATCACTGGTTAATGTCCAACTGAAAACAAATGGAAGGAAGGTGTAGTAGCTATTGTCAAATATGTATATTCAATATGAAATATATAAAGATGACATTAATAATGTGGTTTTAGACTAGAGTATGAGAAGAGAGTGCAAATTTTTCTTAGGGCTTACTTACACTTTGTGACAGATGATGAGTAATGAAAAACCAAACCCAAAGTGAACTGGAGCAATAAAACATTACCAGCTACACATTACCGACCCCTGGGGTTTCCCTCAGGAGCTGTAAGCATTAGGAACACACCAAAAAGCCAGGACTGCAGCACCTTTCCGGCACGATGAATATCTATTTCTTGGGTGAATAAAAGAGTGAATGATTTGAAGAGATTCCAAGGCATAATTCATTTTGACAATGAAAGAAGAAAAATATGGCAAAATGTGGTCATAATGCAGAAGTTAGCATTGAGGAAGTTTTAAACTTGGAAGAATTAATAGGAAAAGCTTTCTTTCCTACATGTATTTAATGAAGCTGAAAAGATCAGTAAAAATATAGAGTTAGAGTCACTGCAGCTCTATAATTTAAAAAGTTTATAGACAAAACACAGTTGTTTGGGAAATATGTATAAGGATCTTTGAGCTAACAGAAGCATTTATGAAAAAGAAATATGGTCAAAACAATGGTTTTTGCATATAAGGTCATGCATAAAATTCAGAATTTTCTCATTTATTTTTACTAACATCTCCAGTTAATTACTGTCCTCTTATTAACCCACAACTTAATAATGGAACTGGGTCCAGTGTAAGACTGTAATGCTTAAGATGAAAAGCATTTCTAAGGATTTTGGCTATAGAGATGGTGAACAAGAGAGTAAATGTCTGCAAGATAAACTATAGTGATAATGTTAGAAAAAGGTGTAGTGAGACCATCCATTGATGATGGAAGCAAAAATTGTTAAAAATTCTCTGCAAAAATAGTTTGCAGAACGAACAAGCTATCACTGTCATTTAATCTGGTAATTCCATTTCTCAGCATCAATTCTAAAGATAAATTTGATAAGAACTCAAGTAAAGAAAATATACAACAATGACAAAATATTTATCTTAATTGATACAAAAGTTCAAAAATAAAATTAAATTAAGTATATTATGTTAGATCATTAGAATGAGTTATACTCCTACTGACTTACATTTTTGAAGTAATTTTGGTGATGACACTCAATAATGTGAAGCTAAGAAAAGAATATGCATACTATATTGTTTACATATGATTCTAATATGTAAATATATTCACACAAACATATATATCTACATCATAAAACCAAAAAGATATATTATCATGTTAACGCTACTTATTTCTGTGAAGATAAACATTAACTTCATTTATTCTTATTATTTTCCAAGTTCTCTAAAATAAACTTAAATTCTGTATTACAATTCAGGAAAGGAAGCATCAG